TCTAACTATCATTTTTGCGGGAATTTCATTCCATGCTTCGATAATCCACCAGCACACCGTACCTGCATTCAGTGACTGACTTGCTTGAATGTGCTTAGGCAATCTTTTGATGATACAGTATGGTCTCCTCTTCATTCTCTCTCCCACTATCATAAGCACTAGGACAGTTTCCTGTATTGGAAGCTGTAAGAGTTGACGCTAGCAGCACTTTCGTAAATTGGGAAATATACCAAATACAATTGTCATTATTAAATTTCTTGTCCTTGCCAGCGTCCGGCTAATTTATTCACAATACGTTTTTCGTCACAGCAACTCATTATTGACAAATTGTATTTTTTTCCCTAAAATTGACCCCACGAACATAGGTCTCAAAACATTACAAAAAAAGTTTAATTTAACGAAAGACCGAAAATTCTTAGAAACACCCCGAAAGACAGAAGACTTTTGGTGAAGATCAAATATATGAGGTTGCAACTCAGTCAGTTCAACAAGAAAGCGTTCGTGTAAGAGGCGAATCACGCGTAGGCGTGTTGTTAGCACTGTTTTTACTATTGCTCGGTAACTATGTCTTGTTTTGTACTGACATTATGCAATGTGACTATACCGCATTTGCGCTTATTTTGCTCTGGGCCAACCCAAATCGAATTGGCGATTCGGTCAAAGCATGTTGTTGTCATTATTAAATTGCCCCTGAAATCCTCGGTCACTTCCCGTTTAGCATTAACTTTTCTCCCATGTGTATCATTAACATTGTTACAAACACGCGATGTTTCAGTTCGTACCACCTTCACATGTTCATTCATTACATAAATAAGATTTAAAGAAAAAAAAGAGGAAACACTTCTACCCAAATGGCCTTCAAACCTGCTGTTGAGGTTGCAATCACAGCCGTCGTGGCTGGCTATTTTTATTACTACCTTCCCGACTTGATGCCCTTTGTCGGTATAATTATAATCGGGTCATGGGGTAGATATCTGTACGAAAAATTTAATGGTAAGAGGCAGAGTTAAACAACCTGAGCGTAACTTATTTATTAATCTATTGAAAATTATAAAGAAAGGGCACCTGTCTTGAGTCCTACCGAATGGAAAAAGTTTCCTTTGATTGAGAAGATAAGCGTCAGTCATAACGTCGCATTGTAAGTTCTGGCTGAGGTGGCCATTTCAATATTTGGGAATGACCAGCGCAATAGTTAATGATCAAATTTGTTTTCAGGTATCGTTTTGGTCTTCCTCATCCGGAAGACTTTCTTGGCCTTCCAATTGGACAGGTAGATATTCTCAACGATATTACATGCTTATAACGAGATCGTATGTCTTTATGCTCTTCATCGTACACGCATGCAAAGCGATCTAAGAAATATTTGAATCGTCAGCATATTTCAGTACAAGCTGAAATAGGGGGCAAGTCAGTACAGCGTAGCTATACGCCGACGAGTTCCGACGATGACCTTGGACACTTCGATCTGCTGATTAAGGTAACGTAATTACTTTTATGAGGCGTTCCCTTATGTGAATCGGTACACTAATTTTTGTTACCGTAATTACTAAGTAGACGTATCCTAGTGGAATAATCTCAAAACATATTGCCGAACTGAAAATCGGTGACCAGATTAATGTAAAGGGACCAAAAGGCCAGTTTAAATACGCGCCAGGTCTAGTTAGAGCAATGGGAATGGTCGCAGGTGAGAATAATTGCAGGCAATAGTGGTAGAAGGCGTTTATTTTTTCCCCTTGGTTCTAAACTATTTGTTATGTGTTTAAATCAGGCGGAACCGGAATAACGCCGATGTTACAGGTATGCTGAAACTGTGATTCTTGTTGCGACCTATGTGCAATACTTAACATTCGCCTGTTTATTCGCTTGCCAGATAATTCGTGCTATACTAAAGAATGCGGATGATAAGACTGTCGTTAGTCTGATATTTGCCAACATTACATTAGAAGACATCTTGCTCAAAGACGAATTGGATGCTCTTGCTGCCGGACACGACAATTTCACTGTACATTACACTTTAGACAAGGTACACTGATTACGCCTGGCATGTTTCTGTATTGTATATTGTTTCATCTAATGACTTATATATCGATATTAAGCCACCGGAGGGATGGACAGGAAGTGTTGGTTTTGTGACGGCTGATATGATTAAGAAGTATTGCCCTGCTCCTGCGGCAGATGTAAAAATTCTACTGTGTGGACCGCCCCCTATGGTATCCTCTATGAAAAAACATTGTGAAGCATTAAATTATGAGAAACCAAGGGCTATATCAAAATTGGAGGTAACAAAAAATAAGTGAAATATTTTTATTAGTCGCTTGCCAATGCCTGACTGACGATGATTATATTTATAGGATCAAGTATTCGTATTCTAAGTTACATTAATTTATTAATAAGTCAAATCTACATTGACACTAAACGATGCCATGAAAAAGTTCTTCTGTTGCTCCCAAAACTTTTGATCCAATAAATTTAATATAATTGGTTTCAGACAAATCGATGTCAATCATCGCCTAACTCTTCCTTAACGCTCTCAACATCTTTCTACCTTTTTTATGATCTTCAACACTTCTTCCAACACGACTTTGCGGTCCAAATTGTTTTTTCGTCACAAAATTCCAATGTACCATTACCCATGAAGTGTGATATGCAAGATTATCGTAATATCCAGACGCAATCCTTCGCACATCCGGAAGTTTCGACCATGGCACCTAGTAAATAAGTTGCAAATAATGAAGCATAAACTAATCAAATATTGGCTCGACAGCAATCTTACCTTTGTGAAGTCATGATGTTCGTTGTGATAACCAACATTCAAGAAGAAAAAATTTAATATTCCGTAATACGAATATGTCTCTTGACCGTCGTCAAAAGTATAATGTTCTTGTATGAAATGAGCAGCAGCAGGATGTATTCCATATCCAAACCAAAGGCTTATGAATAAATAAATCAATCCTCTCAATCCACAGAAATGGCATATCAACGCGTCTGTAGTAATGGTAAAGGCCCAGTTAACCCATTCCCAAAACTGGGGTCTTTTCTGCATCATTAGACCGCGGATCACATACATTGCCGGATAGATGTTCAACCATAAGAACTTGAGGAACGCGTTTCCTCGGATTAGACTACGTTCCCAGTCAAGCGGAAGAT